TTTTTTTTTTTTTTAATATATCTTTATTGATTTCAGAGAGAGGAAGGGAGAGGGAGAGAGGTAGAAACATCAATGATGAGTCACTGATCGGCTGTAGCCCACAACCCGGGCATGTGCCCTGACCTGGAATTGAACCCCAATCTCCCGGATCCTAGGTCGCTGCTCAACCACTGAGCCACGCCCGGCTGGGCACCAGAGTGTATCTTGACCCTTTACTTTTCCCCATCTCTTCTATATGAGGGTCCCTGCTATAGTTTCTTTTTATCATTTGTCAGCTACCTCAATCTGTTCTTTTGCCATATAATAGAAAATGTGGTTTGATCCCCCCTCCCCCCCCCAGTGTAAACAATCTTTATTAGCAGGTATCAAGAGTGCAACGTAGTAACAAATCCAGTGAGATCCAAAGGAGGCAGGACATGGCTCCCTTCCCCCAACCAAGGGCCCATAACCAGACTAATGGGGCAGGAGCACTTGACTGTGGCCAGTTTGGACCCAGCGCCCTTCAAACAAGATCTCGGGGGGAAAGGAGCAACACCACTGAAGAGGCATGGCCTGGGTACCGTCACAGGTTGCACGCCTTCTGCTCAACACACAGCTTCACAACTCCAGGTAGGGGTGTTAGGCAACTGGCTAAAACTATCCCTCTCCAAAGCAAGGAGGTGCGAGATTGCCAGCTCCTGTGGAGTATAAGCAAAGTACTTCTGGCTCATTTCCTGGGTCTTGTTTTCCCTTTTAGCAAACTTTTCAGCACGATTTAGATTGTAAAAGAAAAATTCCTACAAATTCTTTAATGCTACTTCTGTCAATTCTTTTAGATTCATAAACCAAATCTTTTGCTTGAAAGATAAAAATCTGAAAATGTATTCAAACACAACACTAAGATTATTGAAAATTAGAGTAAATCCTTGTTAAGTTTTACTAATCATGAATTTAATTACTCCATGAATAAAATAATTCCCTATATCATGACACACAGCTCATTTCCTCTTGAAGGAGCTAGCAAGACAATAAAGTAATTTTTTTAAAAATCTTTTTACAACTTCAATCCTGTACTTTTATCCATGCTTTTAGAACTTTGTGATTTCTAAATTATGGAAAGCATTATCACTTTGAGTTGAACATGGAAATTTTCCACAGTTAATTCTGAAGCAAGTTTGAATAAATAAACTTTACCTGCATTGTGAGAAGTTTAAAAAATATGTATATATATTTGTAGTTTGTGAGCAGTAGTAATACATGTTTTGGAACAAAAAATGTATACATTAATGAAATCTTTAAAGATATTGGCTATTCCTACCATAGTGCATTCAGGAAAGAATGCTATGTAGCAAAAGCAAATGCTCTTATCAGAATCACTTTTGGTCTTATCATGTACCAGATATTGAGCATCTAATAATGCACTCCTTGAGAAGACCTTGAGAAAATAACTCAGACTCTGTGATTCTAAGAAGCATTTCAAAAATTATACCTCAGCTGCTTCATTTTCTTCTTGAAGTAAAGTGTGCTGAAATTTTGGATCCATCTTCTTGGCTTTCTCAGTAGCTGTCTGCTTTTCTTCTTCATAGGACATAGCAAGTATGCCCAAGAACAAGCTTGCCATATAAAAGGCAAACCAAAAGCTTATTACAATAAAAAATATCATGTAGACCTTTCCAGAAGCATAAAGGACCTAAGGAGAGGCGGAAAACAGGACAAAAGAAGAAAATGTTATTTGTCTTCCAGTAATCTCCTGTTTTAAAATAAAAAATGAATTTTTTTATAAAAATAATTTAGTCATAACTGGAATGTAATCACAAGACAGTTTTAGTACTGGCTCTATGTGGAAAAAATAAGCAAAAAACTCCTCAACTTTAGACATATCTGAGGTATAATATATATGGTATAAAACCAAAGAAAGAATTGAGTAATTTAATTAATTTAGGGTGAGCATTTAACCTTTAAGTCTTCATTAATAAAGCAAACATAGTGAAAAAAAAATTGTTATCTCTCAACAAAGAAAGCTGATGATCTAAATATGGAAGATAATTTCTTTGCAACAGAATCTTTAAATATATGAAATTTAATAAAGTTAGAGAATGAATGTTTAGAGATCACTTTCTTCTAATAATTACTGTATGGAAATAGCACAAGAAGATACAAAATCAGGTATTCAAAGGCGTGGGGAACAGAAATAGTTCTGTATCTGTCAGAATATCTGCTTTGGTAAAGAACTTTGGATGAATCACGAGGAAAAGTTATATAATTCACTTATATGAATTTATTTATAAATAGAAAATCACAAAATTTTAGAGTTACAAACTGAGGATTGACTAGCTTTTATTTCATAATAATTACCTAAGGTAGATCAGAAAATTTAAAAATTTAGAAAGTTATAAGTAGATATCACAAATTCAAAATGTAGCCCACCGATTTATCCTGCTCACTGATTAAAAGTATAAGAGCAAGTAAAAAAAAAGTTTAATTTTTAAGCATTCATTTGAATCAATAAGTATTATTTACAGAAAATATTGTGTTAATATAGTTAAGAATGTTTACAGATTAATAGGAAGTTCTAATAATCAGAAATATATTTTTTTAATCTATAGTATATAGTCTTTAAAAAGTATTTCTAATAAACCTTTTATCCCAGTGAGTCAGCTACTTAGAATTTGGCTAAGTATTTTTTCCACTGAACTAGCTGTCATTTACTGTACTATATTGAGGAGTCGGTAATAGATTTTATGGAGTATCCTGTAGGCCAGGCACATTAACAATGCTTTATGTTTATTATCTCATTAATTCTGTGCAATATATTTATGTGGTATTTACTATTACTTCCAAAGTGCAGAAAAGAGATGAAAATAAGATGGGCAAAATGACCTGCCAAAGATCTCACAACTATGGGAGATGGATGCCTGAATCCAGAATGTTTGCTCATTTTGCTACATGAAGTTGATAAAGGATAAAAGTATAGATTTTAATTAGGATGAGAAAGTGGAAATTCTAGACCTATTATATTGTAGCATTAAATTGGGGCTAATTTTAACCCCATCTCCTAGTTTTGTTATGAAAATCAAATAAAACTACGAATGCAAAGATCTTAGCCCATGACAAGCATGCAATAAAGATGAACTACTGTTAAACATAACTCTACTCCATGAGCACTGACACTTTGTTTTGCTCATTTCTGTACCCGCGGAGCATCAAAGCATACATGGGTCAAGTAAATATATGTTGAAAGAATGGAGAATAATATTCTTCAAAACATGAGCTGTTGTCTTGAGGAATAATTGCTGAATTTCCCTAGCCAGAGTCAGTTTAGTTTCAGGCAATATTCAGAGTTCAAATCCAGTCCAAATAAAAGAAAACCTTATTTACGCTAGTCAATAAAACTTAGAGTGTAAAAATGATGCAGGTACTGCATGGACTCCAACACCAGGGAATTCCCAGACTGGTTTCTCATTTCAGGGGAACTGGGAAAAGATTTCCTTCAAGCCAATGCTAACAAGAAAATTAGCTAACACACTTTGAGGGTTATAAAGAAAGCAAGACATTTATTATTATATAAAATGACACAATCCAAAAATTCTTATGTTTTTTGTTTATTAAGATTTCATTAAGCATTCCCACGTGTTAGATGTTGAGAACACAGAAATTAAAATAAGACAAAATACTTCCTCATAGGTAGCATATCTCCTAGTGGAAGGAAGAACTGAGCAAACAATTAAAATAACACTGTCAGAAGCAATGATAAGGGACCATGGGCTTCCGGTAGGAAATGATATGAGTTGACGGAAGAGCTCAAAGGAGAAATCTGGCCTTGAGGCATGAATCCAAGGCATGAGACTGAAGGCAGAAAAAAATTTGGATTTGAGGCAGAGTGCAACAGAGATTAATAAAAGAAATTATGGGAAAAGCTTATGTAGGAAACAGCAAGTTTTTTTTTATACTCAAATAGAGCAGAAAGTACATAAAGAAAACCTGAATCTTTGTTTTAGTGAGTATTATGTCCTTCTGAGAAACTATGGCACACAAATTATCAGTGATGAAGACAGGCTTTCAGAATTTGGATTTCAGGTTTCATAACAAGCCTTCTGTTACAATTGAGGCACAATTGAATATTAAAGAGAAAGGAGAATAGAAGAATTGAAAGGAAATAGCACATTGTATGTATTCAATAAACAATTGTGTAATACTTGGTAATCTCATAGGTTCAAATTTGTGACTAAAGAATTGGTATCTAGAAATGTTCTTAACTCAGTTAATATCACAAAGCAGAAGAGTGATACCTGGCACATGTATGTTTGTAACTTTGGGGAGGTTACCCAACCACTCTGATCTTAATGTCTTCATAGAAAAAGTGGATGTATATATACACATACTGACCATGTACAATTGTTTAAAGCTTAAATGAGATATCACACATAAGAGCACAGACTTTGGCATAGTGTTAGAATATTGTTTGACCTTTAATAATTCTGGTTTTCTTTCCTTCTGTCGCCAAATTCTTCTCCACATAAAAATTTAATTAACTATGTTGCATTCGATCATTATCTTAGAAGGGAGGAGCATGGAGCATGGTACCATTCTTATGTGCACAGCAGATTATCTCTGTATTTACCTGGTGATACAGGGCTTCAGGGAAATCCTGTGTCATTAACCGGAATAGGGCTAGTAAGGCCCAGCCGAAATTGTCAAAATTTGTGTAGCCATTATCAGGATTTATGCCAGCTTTTACACACACATATCCTTCAGGACACTGACTAAAAAAGACAAAGAAAAGAAAAACTGCTTACTCTTAGGTGACTTTCAGATTATGGCCAAATCATAAATGTAGAACATCTGTCCATAAATAATAAAAGGCTCTCGTTTCTACAGGGAGCAGTCTTTTTCCAAACAATTCCCAATGAAAAAGTTGCATATGTCTTAGATTTTAAGTTGGTATACGTGAACAGTGCTAATATAGCTAAAAGGAAATAGGGCCTTGACAAGTGGTTTTTGCCAAGCCTTTGTTAAAGGTTTCTTTACTACCCAATATCAAAGTGAAAGTATAACCGATGAAATAGAACAGTGATAAAAATAAAACTGCAATAGGTGAGGGTTTAATTTTCAAGTAATCTCACCTCAACTCCTTAGAGCCTATTATTCAAGGATGAGAAAACATTTATCACATTAATAATTATAAGCAGTACTTTCACTACCAAGGAAAGAGCAAATATTTATTTCATTTCCTTTTATGGAGTCTTCATACTTTTATCTACTGGGGGCTTGAGTGTGTGGCCAATGACTGCTGCAGTGGCCCAGTAAACCATGCTTCCCTCTATTCACCGGCTTGCCTAGTTCCCTCCCACATTATTTTGGCTTTGGCCATGTGAATTGTTTTGGACATTTGTTAATGGTTAATAAAGGTCGTACAAACAGAGGTTTAAAAGTAATTGTGCCTTGAGGCTTGCTAAACTGCTGACTCACATAATCTGAACAAATGAATTTTTGTTCTTGTCTTAAGGCACTGACTTTTGGGATCCTTTACCCTGCAACAAGGTATGAGGGCTACAGGCGAAACACTCATGACTCTCTTCTGGCCTTGAAGTGTATCATTGTGATTCTGACTATCCAAGACCAAGTATCTTCCATATGAGTCTGGAATGTCCACAAAAAGGGTTAGCTAGAGTTGTATGGGACAGACATACAATGGGATGAGTTCCCAATTTGGACTTGAGACGAGAGTGTAAGCCCAGAAAGAGTTGGGCAAAAAGAGTTGAGCAAGTGACAAAATATCCAAATCAACTGAATATAACTAAACTACATAATTCATGCTCCTCTCCCCATCGTGTGCCTTTCGTCAATCTGGGTCCCCAAGCCTAAGAAAGAGTTGAGCCTACAGATGGGTATCAAATCATCCAAACTGAGGGAAGTAACGTAAAGAACGACACAAGGCATAGCACTGTGCAGAAGCTATTTCTACTTCCATATCTCATCTGAAACAGCAGGACAGGAGGACATGAGAGTTGTGTGCTCACTGAAGAATTACTTATAAATACTGTTTTTAAGAACAAGAAGCTTTGTATTAATATAAGTTACTGTCATAAAAGATAGTCAAGCCATAAAATAAGTGAAATAACAGCATATCTTTAATATTATTTTCTTCAAAGGCTCTGGCCAAAGAAAAGATTATACTATTGTCCTTTCTGGTAATTTCCACTAGCTCTGAGGCACAAGGAAAACAGAAAAAATCAGACCTTGTTTAAGTCCCAGCTCTGCTGTTTACTAACTTCTTGATCTTAAATAAATACTTTACGTATTGTCTATTGGTTTCTTTTGTAAAATTGTTTTAAAATTGTTTTAATAGTATTCCATAATATTCACTTCTCAACATGGTTTTGATGATCAAATTAGGTAATCTAATCAAATGGGAACCATAAGTAAAGGCAGTAATTATTCAATAAATACTATTGATTGGTGATGGTGACTTGATAGAAGAAAACATCAACATCACTTACCCGGCATCTGTTCTGTTGCCACAAAGGAGAGCATATCTTTCTCCTTCCAAATAATAGAAGTTTTCTGTTTCTGAAAATAGGAAAGAAATGATATTCTATATCTAATCATGAGGGGATAGCATATCTGAAAACCATTTAAACCACTATAGTGGGAATGAATTAGCATATAGCCTGGCTGTTTTTTGTTTTGTTTTGTATTTTAATCTAGGAGGCTGTCCTAGCATCTGATGCACCAGCCAAAAGACCTCTGGCAATCCACCTACTTCACTTACCTGAAGGTGATAAAACTCAGTATAGAAAGAGGAGATTTCCTTTCAAAATCAGAGTTCAGGAAAATGAATATAACCAGCCAGGTATGATTAGGTCCCTGAAGGAAAAATTTCCAAGACTAATATGTTTGAAAGCTGAGAACCTTTATTTCCAGAATTTATTCCTGATGCTCTTCCTGAGCAGAAGACCCAATTTTTCTGTCTTTGGGTTTAATTTCCATTCTCTTCTCACTCTGACACTTATTTTTCTACATAGAATATCCAGTGCCAATTACTTCCCTGATGTCACCCAATTTTGACCACAACTCAAGCTGATCTTAATTATAGCCCATAGAATCTATCCACGTATCCTTCCCTGTCAATTAAAATGTAAACTGTGTATTTATAAATATAGTTACCAGGGTTGGGAACATGCATCCTTAAGAGCATTGGTTTTTAGGTTCTAAATTCAAATCACAGAGATCAAAACCATAAGAGCAGTCCTGAGTGTGTGTGTTTGTGTATGTGAGTATACATACAAACATATATATGTACACAAAATTGTATGTATATTATTCATACAAAATTGAATTACTCCAATCTCAAATAATGTCACCTGAAATAACTTTAGAAAAAATTGAAATCATAAATAATTAAATCATCAAAACTTTTGAATGACAGTCAAAAACCAAATGGAATTTGACATTAGTAAAACTAGGCAGTTTCAATTACTTTCCTAAGTACAAGGACTATGACATGTCAATTAGGTTAATAATATAATATATTCAGCAATTCCTAACTTGCTATTTGAGGAAATGGATTTGACAAATTTTAAAGTGGTAATCTTTAAAAGTGATTTCTTTATAATATACGGTGTCCCCCCAAAATGTATATACACTTTGAGCAGTTATTAATTCCAATGTGTTAAATCTGAAAAGAAAGAAATATCAATTGAGCTATCAGCTGTTAAAGTGTGGATACATTTTTTGGGGGCACTCTGTATATTTTAATAAAGATGAAAAGAACCTGTTTTCTTAGCAATAACTAGTGAAGTAGCAAAAATTGCCAATTTTTAAGTAATTAGCATATTTTTGTTACCATGTCAAAGAAACCAAAGGGTATTTCAATTGGAAACTAACATTCAGTATCTATCTCTTGTCCTCACCACTAAAATCAGGACCTTGAAATTGACACACATAAGGAAACATTTCACATACTCATATACTAATAATTTTGTATTACTCACATCATAATCATATTATGGGGTAAACTGAAGAGTAAAATTTATTAAGATTTGTTTTAGAACTTATTAAATCCAAAGTATAAATCAGTGTAGAAGGACTACATAAGAAGTACCAACATTTGGTTTTTATTAGTTAAAATATATGCTTTTTTCCTAAATACTGTCAGAAAGGACTTGATAATTTCAATATGAGAGAAAAATCCAGTAAGAGTGTGGTCTGGTGAAAAGGGAATGGGTATTAAAGCCAGGTTGTGCTTGGTCAGAATCCTGGTTTTATCACCATGTAGTTACAGTGCTCTGGAGCATTCACTGAATTTCTCTGAACTTCATTTCCTTGTTTGTAACAGGGGATATTAGTGTCTCCTCTGCAGGATTATGGTGAAGATATATGACCAGGCTTGTGAACTACTTAAATATGAGTTAAGCAATACCTATGTGGCATTATTTCTATTAGCCTAAAATATTCTCAAAATTAAAAACTTTTGACCTCTAAAGGTCACTGTCAAGAAAGTGAATCGAGAAAATGTTTTCAAATCATGTATCTGATAAGAGTCTGGTATCCAGGATATATAAAGACCTTATTTCAATTCAATAATAAACAAGCAAATAACCCAATCAGAAATGGACAGTGGATTGAAATAGACATTTCTCCAAAGAAGATATACAAGTGGCCCATAAACACATAAAGTGCTGTTGAGCAACATTAGTCACTGAAGAAATGCAAATCAAAGCTACAGTGGGACACTTCATACGTCCTAGAATAACTATAATTAAAAAAGGGGTAATAACAAGTGTTGTCAAAGATGTAGAGGAACTGGAACCCTCATATACTGCTGCTGATAATGTAATGTGGTGGAGTAACTTTGGAAAACAGTTTGGAAGTCCCTCTAAAAGTTAAAATTACCATATGACTCACCAATTCTATTCCTAGGTATATAACCAAGAGAACTGACAGGAGATGTTTACACAAAAATGTGTACATAAATATTCATAGCAGCATTATCCATAATAGTCATAAAAGATAAAAAACATATCAATCAATTGATGAATGTATTTTTAAATGTGATATATACATAAAATGGAATATTACTCAGCCACAAAAAGAGATGAAGTACTGATTGGTGCTACAACATGAACCTTGAAAACATTATGTTAAACGAAAGAAGCTAGTCACAAAAGACGATACATTGTTTGATTCGTTTATATGAAATGTCCAGAATAGGACAATATATAGAGACAAAAAGTAGATTAATGGTTGCCAGGGGCTGGTGCAAGAGGAATGAGAAGTGATTGCTGATGGAGAGGAGTTTTTGTTCAGGGTAATGAGAATGTTCTGGATTTAGACAGTGGTGATGGTGATACAACCTTGTGAACAAACTAAAACTGTGACTCTTATGGTATGTAAATTATACATCAATTTTAAAAACCAAAACTAAAAACAACATGCCCCCCCGCAAAAAATAAAAATTTTAATTTTTTGACATAGATGGCAAGTGATTCTTACCTCGAATGTAACCTGGGTTTCTGGTTCTGTTGTGCAGGGTTTCAGTTTCATTTTCTTGGGGCCATCGGAGACATTTATGCTTTAGGTTGCCCATGAAGAGCCCCATCCCAATTAGAGAAAATACGCTCAGAAAAAACAGAGTAAGGATAATGACACCAGTAAGTTTCTTCACGCATTGGAGCAGGGTCCCTACATAAGACTTCACACCTGAAAAGAGACAGGTTTGTTTTCAATAAACTAAAATCTCTTAGTAAAGCAGTAGTGGCAAACTTCTCCCACAGCATATACATACTCCATCGAAATTGGTAGCTTTGTGCTTCATAATCTAATTTATCATTATCTAGGTCTAATAAATTAATGAAACCCCAAACTTTAAGGTTTTTGTATTGTTGCTAATTTTTTACACCTAACAAAATAATTCAGACACAATATATTTTAAAATTAGTCATCTGTTCGTTTCTCTGTACTACGTAAAGGACAGACTTTCTCTCTTGGTTACTGCTTTTCATACCAATCACCATTGTTTATAAGCATAAGTAAAGATATAGTTATTAATCAAAATGGGTTGCAAATGTTGTTGAAGCAAAAAGTAGTTGAAAATAGCAGTTTTCTATAATATTCTTTCATTAATTTTTAAGACTTCAATTTTTGGAAATGATTAAATAAAACATGAAAAATTTTAATGATTACAAATGAGAAAAACACAACTGTGATATATGCAAGCTGTATTTATTTATTTTTATGGATTTCAGAGAGAAGGAGGGAGAGAGAGATAGAAACATCAATGATGAGAGAGTCATTGATCGGCTGCCTCCTGCATGCCCCCCAACTGGGGATCGAGCCCGCA